GTGAGTGAACGGCTTTGAAAGGCTAATTGAGTTGGAAAGTGCCAGGAGAGAGCATAAAAGCGAGGTGATGAAGAGGAAGAAGATGAAGACCGGTTGGGAGTGGAATAAAAGCATGGTATTGCAAAATTATGCTGTATACAAAAAGTTGAAAATGAGTAGTAGTCAGGTACTGAAAGCCAAAGAGCAATACTAGTGCAAACTCTGCTGTACAAAAAAAACCTTTTGTACGGTTTTTTATACGCTCGATGGTGTTATCATCAGCATCGCCATCATTGTCATTGATATCAAATGGCATCAAGTTAACCTCAAGAGCTCAAGTGCTTGTGTTTTGCCAAACATTAATAAATGGTGAATTCAAGGAAAGAAGAAGATGATGAAGCCGTTGCACTCACTCAGAGAGAGAAAGAAAGTGAAAGTGAATGCTCTCCTTTTAAGCTAGTTTGGTCTCTCTCTCTCTCTTCCTATCTTATCAACAGCAAGAGGCCAGAANAGATGAAGCCGTTGCACTCACTCAGAGAGAAAGAAAGTGAAAGTGAATGCTCTCCTTTTAAGCTAGTTTGGTCTCTCTCTCTCTCTTCCTATCTTATCAACAGCAAGAGGCCAGAAGAGCAAAAGTAATTTATCATTACAATAGTAAGTTTGCATAAGAAACTGAGTTAGGCTAATTGAAAATCCAGTGCGTAGGCGGCGTGCACTGTACGGCACTGAAAAGGGACTGAAAAAAGTGACAAATTGTGTTTCTCAGCCTCCTTTTTTGTGTGCTTGACCGAGATGATAACCGACGATAAGTCAATCAATTTGTTTAGAGTAGTGTCGCCTTTCAATGATCTTTCAGTGCAAACTGGTGGTGATGGTGGTAAATTGATGATATTATCAGCGACGACGAGGAGGTGAAAAATGAAGGTAATGCTTTTTGCTTGGTTAGTCTTCTGGTCTTCCGCCCACTCTGCCACCAAACAACTGAACAAATGAACGGATATTGCTAACAGTCTTTCTTCTTTTATATCCCCACTCATGGCCAACAGCTTTTTTGGCCAATCAATTAATCAGTGGTAGAAAAAATGACAAAAACGAACCCGAAAAGACAGTGTCAGTCATTTGACATGAGGTTTCGGGTAAATTGTTTTTCCATTTCTACTTCTTCGTCTTCTTCTTTGAGATAATGAACAAGTTCAACTGTGCGACTGGCAAAAGTTGACGTTCAATTGTGTGTGTGTGTGTGTGCATTTAAGATGAATGAAAGAAGAAGTTGATCATCAAGAGAAGAAAGGTAATGGGGAAAAAGTTTTTTTGCGGTTCAACGACAGCTTTTAGCCCTGTGGTGACTTCTTTTTCCTCTTGTCTATTTCCTAATGTTTTTCTGCTATTGTCGACATTGTCAATAAGTCTAAAAAGATTTTCTTTTTTTGTTTTCTATTTTTGGTGCCATTTCCGCTAATTATTAAAAAGCCGTAGTAAAATCGTAGTTCAAAAACGGTACAAAGTTCTTTTTGTGGCAATTTTATGATTGCAAAAAAGTGCAATTTGAATAAAACAAATATTCTACTGTTTCAGTTTCAGAATTTTTGTACAAAACAAAACAGATTTTCCAATCACAAGTTGAAGCAGTGCTTGTAAAATCCTGATTACTGTTAAGGCTAACCTTTAACGGTATAAATTAGTAATTATCAAAATTAGTAATGAAAATACTTACAAGTTAAACAGCCGACCGCTTTACTTTACTTGCACTGAAAACAGGTTCAGCACCTTTAGTGCATCAAGGTCTACTCAGGTGTGTGTGTAATTAATGGATTCAAGTGAAGTAATTGCTGAAGGCCTAAATAAATGGCCAGCGATTAAATAAATAAAAGCAAAGTGAGATTATAAAAAACATATCAAATGCACTGGCTGATCATTACATAATCATTGGACGCGAAGAAGAAAGCGGACAAAAAGAGAGCAAAACAGATAAACAAACAAATCAAAAGAAGAAGAAAAATGAAGCACTTACCGCGGTTGTTCTTTGTTCCAGTCATTAGATCTTCTTCTTGTTTACAAACTTGGACTGAAATGTGCTCCAAATCGTTAGCATTCAGTGTTCCAAATTGCATTGTCCTAGGATGTGCCAGCGCCGAGTAATCCGGTGGGGAAAGCTGGGAAGTTTTCCTGAAAAAAGTTGTTGGGAAATGTTTCCGGGAAGAAAAGTTAATGTGGATTTTCGAAGTTCTCCCCTGGGAATTTTGATTCTGCCATATCTCGAGAACGGTTTGAGCTATGATTATAAGCTTAAGAGCGTTTGTGTAGACGGCTAATCAAAATTTTTTAAGCCTAAAACCGAAAGCCTAGCTTGTCCTATTCCTGAAAAAAACCGCAAAAAACTGTTTTAGAACTTTAAAAATTCATTGCAAAAAATCTTACACTTGGATTATTTTGAAACTTGACATAATAGCTGTTCATTAGTAGTAGTTTAATTGAGCATTAAAGTTATTTACCTCACTATTTTAAAACAATTTTTAAAAAAATTTTAAAATTTTAAAATTAATTTTTACACATGCGCCACCTGTCGGAGCAACTTTATTCTGATGTAGGAATGTGCCTCTAGTCTTGTAAATAATAATAAAAAAAAGAATTATTCAATTCCGCCCACTCATCGCCGGAAAAACCCATTTTTCGTTTCTCCGGAAGTACCGTATCGATCGGTATAAAAATTGGCNAAAAAGAATTATTCAATTCCGCTCACTCATCGCCGGAAAAACCCATTTTTCGTTTCTCCGGAAGTACCGTACCGATCGGTATAAAAATTGGCACAGGTACCGTACACTGCTAAACAAATGATNTGCGCCACCTGTCGGAGCAACTTTATTCTGATGTAGGAATGTGCCTCTAGTCTTGTAAATAATAATAAAAAAAAGAATTATTCAATTCCGCCCACTCATCGCCGGAAAAACCCATTTTTCGTTTCTCCGGAAGTACCGTATCGATCGGTATAAAAATTGGCACAGGTACCGTACACTGCTAAACAAATGATTTCCCGTTGCGTTTATTAATTAACTGTGTAATTTGTTAATAAAAAAACTGATATAAACTTTAAAAAATGTTTTTAACAATGATGTACTGTATTTATTAAATTGAAACTTAGCTAATAATTAGGGGCATACTCTAATCTTTAATTGGTGAAAGTTTCAGCTCAATCCGATGAACAGGCGTGGAGAAACGGGAGTTTAAATGAAGACCTCCATTTGACGGACAACTCGCCGAACCGGCACGTGTGCGACAAATGCATTGTAGGTGGAGCTCATTTAAGGCGGAGCTTGCCGCTTCTCCCTGCGTTTGGAACCTTGACTTTGGACCCTGATATCTCCGGTGCTACTGGACCGATCAAACTTTGGTAAACTCTAATCGATCAATTAGAATCTCATCTTTCGTTTGGTACCTTGGTTGATGTAGTTTTATTAAGAATTAGCCAAGAATTCGCTTTGCAAAAGTTTGTTTACAATGATGCATACCCCTTTTGCTTCCGCCTCTTTATTAGCTTCTCAGTACAAGCTTTTTCTGCTACGCCGCCGCTGTCGCCATCTATCGGCCCTGGTGAAGAAGCTGTAGTTCACAAAGTCGCCAAGTGCAACTGGTGGCGCTAAATCTGCGTCACGTACTCTGCGAGTCGCCCTCTCTTTTGCTCTGGTCTGGCAGGCCTGTGCCTGCTGCCTCTGCTTTTGTTACACCTCTCTCGCTCTCTCTCTTTATTGCCTCAAGCTTCAGCAGCAGCCATTTCACTAATGAGCTTTAAATGGTGAGGAAAGAAGAAGAAAAGAGAAACTGGCACACACCGCTTGGACTTCAACAACAACAACAACATCAACCGACGACGAAACGAAGACAACTCAGTCAGTAGGCAAATCAATGAGCAGTAGCTGAAGTCCATTTGCGCAACCGAGCAGTCACCTCCACCACCACCACTCGTACACTTTGCTTTGCTTTGATGGTAGTGTCGTTGATGGTAATTATCACCGTCTGCAAGAGCTCTTTCTCACAAAGATTTTCTTTTTCCTTTTCTCTCACACAGATTCAAAACAACAGAGATTAGCAAGTTGGCTAGGTGTCGATGGCTAAAGAAGAAGAAGAAGAAGAAGAAATGGAAATGGTAGTTTATATAAAGAGAAGGGAAAAAAGGCTTCGATGCCTCCTTTCTTTTGCAGTTTTGGCCAGGCAAACCTTCTCCTTCTACTACTCAGAAGATCAGACAAATCCAAGATGGCCAACAAAGTCTACAAAGAGAGAAGGTCTTCCATCGATCACCGCCAAATATCCTCAACAACCAAAACATCAAATGAAGCCCTCGAAGACGACGACGAGTACCTTCTGCCAGAGAAGCCCATCTACTCATCTACCTCATCATCCTCATCCTCCTCATCCTCAACCTCATCCTCAAAATCAGTTCCTACCACCATCACCACCGACACCAAATACAAATGGAGCCTCGTGTACCGCAATATCCTCCTCATGACGGTGATCCACGGCCTGGGCATCTACGGCGTCTGTCTGATACCGCAGGGCAGCATTGCCACCCTTTTCTGGATCTGGCTCATCCTCATCTTCGGCGCCATCGGCATCCAAACAGGTAAACACACGCCAGCTTCTAAAACCTTCAAAAATAACTCCTTTCCCAACAGGAGCCCACCGCCTGTGGTCTCACCGAGCCTACAAGGCCAGCACCGGCCTTCGCGTCGTCCTGGCGCTCTTCCACGTCCTCGGCCTCCAGGACGACCTCTTCACCTGGTGCCGGGACCACCGGGCCCACCACAAGGTTCGTCTTTAAAGAAAACCCTAAGATCAAAAACATTTTAACTCTAAAAGCCTTCTCCAGTTCTCCGACACCGACGGCGATCCGCACAACAGCACCCGGGGCTTCTTCTTCAGCCACGTCGGCTGGCTGCTGGTGCGAAAGCATCCCGAGGTAAAACGGCGAGGGGCGACCATTGACCTCAGCGACCTGAAGGCCGATCCAGTGGTCCGCTTTCAGCGCAAGTATTACCTCCCCCTGGTGCTGCTCTTTTGGGGAGCATTGCCGGTGGCGGTGCCGGTGCTCTGCTGGGGCGAGAACCTGAAGATGGCCTTCTTCACCTGCATCTTCACGCGATACGTCATCTCGCTTAATTACACGGTAAGTGCTGATTAAGGTGATGATGGTGGTGATTAAGAGGAAAAGGTGAAAGAGATATTTGATTAGGGGTAATTATCCTCCTTTCAGCGAGCTATCTAATTATCCTTCTCCTCCTTATCTGATTACCACCGTATGCTTTTTATTTGTGCAACTTTTTTCATCTCTCTCTCTCTTTCTCTCTCTTCAAAACACAGTGGCTGGTAAACAGCTGGGCGCACATGTACGGCACGCGGCCCTACGACGAGGGCATCGCCCCCGTGGAGGCGTCCATACGCAACGTGCTCCTCGGCGAGGGTGAGCGCTTTCTATTTTAGTTTTAAAAAACTGCAATTTCTAAAACCCATTTTTCAATTTTAGGTTTCCACAACTACCACCACGCCTTCCCCTGGGACTACTCGGCCAGTGAGCTGGGCGCCCTGGACGTCTTCAACCTGGGCACGGCGGCGATCAACCTCTTTGCGGCCATGGGCTGGGCGTGGGACCTGAAGCGGGCCAGTCCAAAGCTGGTGACGCAGAAGGTGAACTCCTGCGGCGACCTGGGGGCGCAGTACAGTCGAGGGAGGGCCTTGGCGGAGTGGGCGGGTGGGCTGCTCACCATGTTCAGCACCTTTCTCTTCTTCGTGGCCATTAATCGGATCTTCAAGTAGGGGAGGAGGAGGAGAAGAAGAAGAAGAAGAAATTGTGCAATCAAACAACAACAACAACAACAGTGTCAATAAACAGTTCATCCTTAGCCCCTCTTCACAAATCTCAACCTCCTCCTCCTCCTCATCACAACATTGAGGAGACAACAATGTGTGTCTGTTGTTTGAGGATGGGATTAGGGATCAAGAGACAACCACTACTGTCAATATTTGAAGAAAGAGTCTCTTGAGGCGCCAGTGAGGATTAGCAGCAGCAGCAGCAGACTACTGCAATGTATTACATTGCTCCTAAATTGCTCCTAATCAAAACTGCTACTGGCATTAGCCGTCTTATCGATTGATTTTTTGGTGGTGGTGCTGATTTATGACACCTACTTTTAGTGCGTGTCAGTAAAGATCACTCACTCACTCACTCAATTTCCAAAAAGAGACCATTTTGTAGCCCGAGTCACTCTAACTGACTGACTAGCACTAATGAAATGGATCCCGAAGAAGTGTACGGCAGCAGTGCCGGTCAGCAGCCAATGGACCTGAACCCCTATGGAAGTTATCAGCAGCAGCCACTGTACAATATCCAACAACATCATCAAGAGCCCGTCTACCAGACACTGACGCCCATCAGCAGTCAAATCGGTGGTGCTCAGGTGCATCACCATCAGCAGCAATTCAAGGCTTATCACCACCACCACCACCACCACCACCACCCTCAACA